GGAGGGGAAGGGGAACAATGCTCCAATCTATTCGTGGGGAGCAACACGTGCTATTGCCGTTAGATAAACATTCACTTTACGGCAAAGCGTTCTTCGAAACACCCGTTAAAAAAAATTGGGACGATGCAGAGGAGATTAGCATTTGACATAATGGTTCGTTTGGTTTTTAATTCACCGTCTCCTTGTATGTGGCTGGCTGGTTCGGTTTCTCGCTCACAGAGAACGGATGTTGAAGACATTTCTGGAGAGCGAGTTCGACTGAGAGATTCACAAAGTGGCACTAAATTTTGACATTGGTTGTGACGTTCGACAACATCCCGCCTGGTTGTTGCCGAGATGACTTACGAACGAGCACTTGATAAAGCGAGCGAACGGACACCGCTACACTATGATTTCGACACGAAAAAAAAAGGTGGCATGCAGAGCAGGTGGGTAGGTAACAAGTGCTCAGAAGCCGAAGTTGAGTGCGGATTCATGCGAGGTATTTTAACTTTTCTGAGAGAATTCGGCGGGGGGCATGCAGGTCCTTTTGGCGAACAGGCAAGTAAAGGCCACAGGGTAGTAGTTCTAAATTTAGAATTCTAAATTTAGAATCATAGCATCATCATGTTCTTTCTTCTCGACTGATACTTTGGCCTCAGCTACTGGCGTTTTTGGAACGAGGTAGAGACGGATGAATCATAGCATCATCATGTTCTTTCTTCTCGTTCTCAGTGCGAATCCGGTCCTTTGAATTTGTTCGGTTATCCAGATTAGATCACATTTGGAAGGGGAAAAAAAAAGGATCAGATTGGTGTGGACTGTTCTTGATTTCCATCGAGTGCCATGTGCTATGTATGTGGAAGGGCTAGGAAGATTCTCACGCCCAGCCGGGCACCCGGGCGTGACGCCTGGGGGGGTCTGACGCCCGGAGTACCCAGGTGTGCAAAAAAAAAAAAATGATTTTTTTTTTGGGGGTTTTCTGCGCTCTCCCAGAGGACCCCAAATCCTGGCTCATTTCGTTTTTTGCGAGTTGGCTGTCAAGGGGGGGGGGAAGGGGGGAATAAATTGGGTTTAAAGGGGCTAAAGGGGTCTAAAGGGGGGTGCCTTTGTGTGATTCTGTTATTTCTTATCTCTGACTCTGTGATGTGACCCTCAGCCAAAAGTCGTTTGTATTTCAATTCTACACAACATTTTTTTTTCCGGAATTTTTTTATTTTTGGATTTTTTTATTGTTTTTTTGCGCCGGGGCTGCCCGGAACCCTGCCCGGGGGGTCATGCCCGGCCTGGCACCGGGGCGTGTACCCGGGCAGAAGTTGGTGCCGCGGCGCCCGGAAAAACAGCCTGGGCTAAGGGCCTTGCTGCACTACTCACCAAATGCACAAAAGACAAAAATGATGGCGGTGCATCTTTCCATGTTCTAGCGAAAGATTCGTTCTCATTTTGTACATTTGGTGAGTAGTGCCGCGAGGCCCTCTACGTCACAAACTGTTTCACTGAAGGTTTCATCCGGTTTTTCACTGCGTTCGAACGATTACAAAAAAAGTAAATCTTTCGAAAAATTTCCATGTGTGGAAAGAAAGGGCTGTACCGCTGGTGGTTCATCTTGTCCATCTTGTCCATCTTTAGCTGAATAGAATGTGAGGTCATTATAGCTTCTTTTTACCACTGACCATCAGATAGGCCATTTAGCTGGAGAAAAATGGTTGGGAAACATACTGGTCGTCGAAACCACCAGCACCTTTTCCCCAGCCAACTTGCCAGGTAGCCCATTTTTGGGAATCCTCGTATCCTTGACGAAGCAGGCAATCCCTTTAAGATCACAACCAACTCGTCTTGGCTTAATTGGGCAAAGAGAGGGGTTTACACAGTTGGTGACTTATGTTATCCCGCGACGGAGGACTGGGCAACAGCAGAACAGCTTAAACTGAAACTCAAGCATGTGCGGAATGTGGAGGAGAAGTTGCTCCAACTCAGAGAATCCCTTCCCCTTGCTTGGCGCTTGGCCCTCCGTACAGGTCCCACTGTTCAGTCTGAAGATTGGGTGGTGAAATACAATGGCCTCCCTCATCTGGCCCTGATATATGTGAAGCTGGACTCTGTTCGCTGCATGCCTACAAACCCCAGTCCCCAGGGGCCATGTTCACTAAACTGACAAGGGCCGAAGATATGGATGTGACAGAGATGGGGTGGGTTGATGCAAATCAGAGTGGTAGGCGACCCACAAAACGGACTGTTTGTGTACAACCCCTCCACACCGTTGGCCAGGCTACATTTTGATCCAGATGAGTGGGAGAGGACGGGGGCAAAACCCATGGCCATATGGGAATATACAGTCAAACGAGGCTACAGAGCCGCCCGCCCGACTATATCAATCAACCATCCCATAACCCAAAGATGGGCGTGAGACTCGCCTCTGGACCCAGAGCTCGTGAGCGATCTGTCATGGGGCAAGTACTCGAAAATTATGCCCACAAACCTCAGGGGCCTTCACTGGCAAATCGTGCATCGCTGCTTACCCACCCCTGGGCCCTGACTGGTTAGTCACAAGAACAGATTTAGAACAGAAAGGGATGTTGTCTCCCATCTGCTCCTATTGTGGCAGAGCTTCGCCACCGGCCCGGGCCACATTAGAACACTGCCTCCTGCCATTGCAAACTGTATCTTGCCCCGTAGTGCAATTACGACTCGTTTTTGTGACTCTACTGAAGTTACCGCTTTTTTTTTTGTTTTAAACCACCAGTACCTGTCCCTGCTTGAACATTTCGACGCGGCCGTTAACGCGCCGCCTTGTTCGGGGCACCCATGGCCGTGCGACCGGTAGTCCCCAAAAAACGGGGCCCGAAAAAAAAAAAAAAAAAAAAAAAAA